TATCAACTGAACACCAAGTCAAAATAAGTCAATATAAATCAAACTATCGAGTCAATGTAAGTCAATATCAACTGAACATCAAGCCAATATAAACCAAAACGTAACACATGTACATTAAAACCTAGCGATATCATAACACGTATACACTGGAACCTAGCGATATCGTAACACATATACACTGAAACCTAGCGATATCATAACACGTATACACTGAAATCTGGCGATATAACAACACGTATACACTGGAACCTAGCGATATCATAACACGTATACACTGGAACCTAGCGATACAATAACACGTATACACTGAAACCTAGCGATATAATAACACATGTACACTGAAACCTAGCGATATCATAACACGTATACACTGAAATCTGGCGATATAACAACACGTATACACTGGAACCTAGCGATATCATAACACGTATACACTGGAACCTAGCGATACAATAACACGTATACACTGGAACCTAGCGATATCGTAACACATATACACTGAAACTTGACAATGTGATAACACATATACACTGAAATCTGGCGATATAACAACACGTATACACTGAAACCTAGCGATATCGTAACACGTATACACTGAAACTTGACAATGTGATAACAGATATACACTGAAATCTGGCGATATAATAACACGTATACACTGAAACCTAGCGATATCGTAACACATGTACATTAAAACCTAGCGATATCATAACACGTATACACTGAAACCTAGCGATATCGTAACACATATACACTGAAACTTGACAATGTGATAACACATATACACTGAAACTTGACAATGTGATAACATATATATACTGAAATCTGGCGATATAATAACACATATACACTGGAACCTAGCGATATCGTAACACATATACACTGAAACTTGACAATGTGATAACACATATACACTGAAATCTGGCGATATAATAACACATATACACTGAAATCTGGCGATATAATAACACATATACACTGAAACTTGACAATGTGATAACACATATACACTGAAATCTGGCGATATAATAACACATATATACTGAAATCTGGCGATATAATAACACATAAACACTGGTTCTTTTTGACTTACCAAACTTGGTAGTCTTGCTCATATCACCTTGACTCAATAGACACTGAAACCCGGCGATACAATAACACGTATACACTGGAACCTAGCGATATGACTATTGTAATGTAATATCTTATTTTCAGCAGGACGTTCATTAGGCCCCTATACCTCTGATTGTTTTGAATTCTGGGCTCATCAATTAAATGAAACTAAGTTTATACACTGGAAGAACCAGAGTATTTTTTGGCGAAACTTTGTTATCGATATGTTTTATGTTAAATTCTGTTGAGTATCACTGTACATATATATATACTAACTTCATACTTTGTATTAGTAGTAATAGAACTAGAACCTTACGTCATTCTGATGCAACTACGTTGATTACTCCTAAATTTATGTTTCATATCAACTGTGGGTTTACGGCCGAAAACACCACTAACAACGAAGCAATGGATTTTAATCTTCATAATAAAAGTCTATTTGATTATCTATACTTAGCACCGGGCTCATCCTTAGTTTTGATTTAAGGAAGAAAATACTAATTACATATTAAGTCGTCAAGAAATTAATGTCGCGTTTTGGAACACTTTCCTTACCTCCCCCCCCCAAATAAACGTAGATCAGGAATAATAGTTAAACGAACCGCCTAAACCTCACGTTAGTGTAGCTTATATAATGTGTAAAGTTTAGTATA